AATCCCCGTTATTCTTCAACCCAAAATCCCAAGCCATAAACCCAAGAATAACAATAAACCTTATACTGGGGCAAGCTCCCTTTAATGGAATTTAATATTATATTATTGTAATATTAAACTACATTTATATCATTCGTGCTTCTAAATAGTCGTGTAGTTCTTCTTCGGTAATGTTATACTTGTCTTTTTTCACACACCGTAAGTATTCAAACAACACTAAGAATATGGTTTTTACAATTTCCCTGTCTTTGTCTGTCGGGATTTGTGATAATCTGTTTAAAGTTTAAGTCCATTTTAATCCAATAGTGTCGCAATAAGAAGTTTAGAAAATCTGCGGAGTATTCAAAAATTCCTCCTTTTGGGTTTACTAAATATGCGAGCATGTCTTTTTTCAATGGGTGTCGTGATTTTTTGATTATATTTTTATAATCTCTTGTGGTAAACGTTGGTTCGTCGGTTTCGTCAGAACGATACTGTGTTAATAGATATGTTAAGATTTTTCTCGCCCTCAAGTGGTCTTTGTTTTCTCTATACTCTTCTTCATACGCTCGATTTAATTCAATACGTGCTTTACGTACTTGACACTTTTCATATTCTCCGAGTATATCACAAACATCCGCTGGTAATTTATGCGATAATACTTTGTGATTGTCTTTGATTTCTTCGCACTTCCAACAATATGTTAATTTGAACATTTTTACCTTACTGTATATACGTGTTATACCTTTAAGCCGTTTTGTGCCATGATAAATACACGTTTAAAGGTATGTTATGTTACACCGTTAATCATGGGAAGTTCAACATCAACCCGACAAACAAATACACAACCTTTAATAAATCCTTCTGCTAAAATAAAAAATCCTAAGCCTATACACGTTTATCCTAAATTCTCATTGGGCGAATGTATATTTAAAATTAATAACGCCGAAGTGTATAGTGATGTTAAATGTAAAGTAATATTTAAATATGTTGTAAATGATGAAATTTGTAAAGATATACGAGGTAAGATAATAAAAGATATATTACATGGAATTAATGGTCGAACTGAATGGTATTTAAGAACATATATACCCATCGAAAACGAAGACAAAGATAATTGGTTTGTATTGAAAACCGCCCTCGACGAATTCGAAGAAACAATCGCCATTTACAAATTAAATAATTTTTCGTATTATATTTATTGATGAGTTTTAATATTATCAGATAATATTAAATCGCATCTGATTCACCATCTTTAGCGGGTGTTTTAAATTGATACTTTTCCGGCCAGCTCCATGGCCGAGGCAGGGG